CCGTTCCATGGCAGCTTTTCAGCAGAGTTTTGTAAGGTGGTCGGCCGTGGAAGAGGGAGTGGTGAACCAATACTACCTCTCCCATGTGGGGTAGAAGAGTAAAAGATTACGTGTGGGTCGTTTTATCAAGTTCTGCTCAATGCCAGGAAATGCTCTATAAGCAGTACAACCTATGATGCTCTTCAGTTTGATTCGCTTACATACAGCTCCACTTCATCACCCCCTGCATGTTGCCCTGTCACATTCGCAGGCCATATCCATTATTGGTGCTTTGAAACACGCGAATGTGACGTGGCTGGCCGGTCAATACCCACAAAGTGCGTGCAGAGCAGGAACGCGATCCCATTCCATCGTAAATTCCAGCAACTGGTGAGAAACATTGCCAAAGTTCAATGCAGCTAGTGTCTCATCTCTAGCTCAAGCTAATTCTACCAGTGATTATATTGAGAGCATTATTTCACAAGCCTAACAACACATAAAGGACGACCTTCTCAGGGTTCCATGGTGAGAACAGAGATCAAGAGAAAACGCCAAAAAGACACGAAAGGTGGAAGAGAGGCGGATCAGAACAGATTTAAAGCAGTATTTATACTTTGCAAGTAGTTCGGACAGAAAATCCGTGATTTGGGAGATCCGTCAGGCAGAGAAAAGTATGCGTATTGATCGAATCAGAGACATTCCATATTCGCACGAGTAGGAAGGCGGCACAACAGGCAGCAATCACACAAATCTACTTACACAAGAGTGTCTTTCGCTGCTTCAACTTTACTAAGACCAGACTGATGGGGTTGATAGAACAGTCGATTCATATTCGCCAATTCCACTTTATCGTAGTCAAAAAGAAGTAGCTTCCCGATAGCGCATCTTGTAAGCATTTCGGCTACAACGCTACCAACACCTGGAATGAAATCGTCAGAAAATGTATCACAAAAATGGGGCCGCGTCCACAATGTGCGTGTGAGGAGAAACCGCGATTCGGAAGAATCGTCGACTAATGATTACGAATTCATTATTGAATCGCGACCACTCCGAGGACGCTTGTGGGAGGAGTCGTCGATCTTCACAAATCGCGGATTTTCTCGAGGTGCGAGGTATGAACACGGCATCAGAAGAACTGCAATTTTCAGACAGTTGTGCGGAAACGTACCTCCAACTCCCACTACGGCCACCGTTTTCTCTCGAATTTTTTCATAGTCCTTCACTATACCCATCCTTTTCAATGCCATCAGTCGACTATACGGATTGGAATCAACGACCTTAACACGACCTTTGAAAGCCTTGACCACAAAATCGAATATGTACAGAACATTACCAATTGTTCACTACTACTAAGATTCCTCAAGATCAAAAAAGGATTAAGCTCAAAAAGTTACCTCTGCGCTCATTTTCTCGATTTTCTGTCGTTTTTGAACTACGGTAGAGTGATCCATACTTTTCGACTCAATCTTGTACGAGCTCAATTCGGCGGTTAGAGCTCGCACTTTCTCTCGTAGTTCCTCTATAGTATTGTTAATACCCGACATCTGAAACAACAAAGTCTAATTCGTATTCTCAGAAACAAGCAACGTTTTGTCGGCGCAAAAAAGGTGGCGGCACTTTGAGAAGCCCTGACTGACATAACGGAGAAAAGGTTTTTATACAAGTGGGGGAGGTTCGGATGGTGAACCTTTTTTTTAATCAAGAGGGAAGGTTTCGAATTGCTGCAGTTCCGAAAGCCGCTCACTCAGCGTAGCTTGTTCTACACACAGCAAACAGAAGCTTTAGATAATCAACATTCCAAAAGTGGAGAATCGCATATTCGCAGAATGCGCGAGAAGGAAAGCATAGGTTGTGATCTGGAGTCCACGAAAAAGACTGGAAACGTACGACTGAATCCACTGGGTGGTTCGACCAATCGACTGATTTTCCTAGCCCTTTAACGGCCTCCTTCTGACTCGTTTGAAAAGGCAGACCCTTTACAAGGATTCTATGTGTTCCGCAATTTTCCTATCCTGCCATTGCGTCGTGAAGTATAAACGCAAGCTAAAGAATTCTCAGAAGAGATACAAAGACTCAAACATGTAATTCGAAGAAAGGCAAGGAAAGGTGTTCAAAACGATGCTAAAGGAACTTTTCAATATAGAATAGAAAAACTTGCAAGGTTGAAGTCTAGGGACATCATCCGTTGTGGAAATCACAAAAATAGGGTCGCATACGGCTACTAAGCAACGAATCTTGCAAGAGAGGTTTGCAAGAATAAAATTGGGAGGAGAGTCGTACTTACAATAAAAAGAAAGATTTTCCACAACGCTATGATGGAGGCAACGGAATAATGACGTGCCGTGGGATATGCCGCAGTCAGTGTGATATACGTACGATACGCTGCCTATACGTCTTTTTATATACGGTCCGGGGTCTTTTGGACTGAATAGTCCTCGAAAAGGTGTGGAACTGAATCGATCAGCACGGTCAAATTATTGGAGAGATGCAGGTTCTGCTAGCAAATGGCGCAAATATTTGCACCTTGGGAGTAGATGCAACTGTTGCGGCCAAGGTTTGTTCGAAGAGGCTCCTCAAACTCTCGATCCAACTTTTTTTTAACCGTTCTGGTCTCAAATTCGACTTTGTCTTCAGGTCTTTCACAAGAACTCCGATTTCATGCAGCTTTCTTGAGGGATTGTGTTTCAGAAGTTCCGCGATAGGACAAGGTTTTGTAGTGTTAACGATGAACGTTGACCGGTTTCTCCATGGAAATATCAACGTGGCTGAAGACCCACAAGCCGCCTGCATCACAGTCATGAAGATCATGGAGGAGGCAAGTAAGTTCTTCTTATGTTTACTTGTAAGTGCCTGCGACGTATGGTCACTATCCCCGTAAACGAAAGGGCGTGTAAAGGGGCGTGGAAGCAGCATTTCCAGCAACGGGTGCCGGTTCTGGACGACTGCCGTGGCAGCACTCCCAAACACGCCCCTTCAAAAGGCCTTTCGCTCACTGAAATCATAAATGTGTTGGTCTTTTATGTTTACACAGGGTTGTTAGGGCTGAAACTCGCTGCAACATCGTTGTCCCCTTAGGATAACAGGTGCTGACAACAGCATTAATACCTGTTATCCTTGAGAAACATTCTCTTCAGGCCAAGCAGGGAAGTCATATTCGGCTCGCTGAAACGGTGTAGAAGTTTCGGGAGCGAACAAGGATTTTTACCGCATTGGTCTTCTTTTTTAAATCAGGGGTGAGAACGTGTTCATACTTCGCGATTTAGTCGCTCGGAGCGTGTTCAACCACATCGTTCGCGCGATCGGAGCGACCAAACCACAGCTTATGAATCCAAGCTTGGGAACGTGAGGTTTTAAAAAAGGCTTTTACTAAAGGAAGGGGAAGAGGTGTTTTGCCAACCGACCAGTTTTCTTCATTGTCGTGACGTACCTGGGATAACATCCCTCCCCCTCCCTCTTCGAAGACGCCGTTGACGCTGACAGCCGCTGACGGCTGAAGTACCATAACATCATTCCCAGAACGCTATGACTCAGAGCTCCTCTTTCAAGTTGTCATCGTGACTGATGCCGAGGCAGGCTCGTGTTTACAAGAAGCTTTTGCCGTGAAGCTCGCCCATGTGCTACCACAGCCATGGGATAGCCCACCTTATTCGTTTATTTATTTATTTACTTATTTATTACTTCGGTACGCTCTGTGGGACAGCGTACGTTCAAAAGCAAAACAGAACACGAATGTGTGGTCGAAGCCACCAGGAACTTCCATGGTGGGACCTCGCCTGGAGGTATGCACATACCTAGTTGGGAAAGAGGACCGGCGTCGCTTATCGGAATAGTGATAAAATATTCTCTATTTATTATCTTCTTGAATGTTTTGCCGAACTGACAAGCCACCAAATTCCAGCAGAAAAAAAACGCCTTTAATCATAGAGTCAGTGAAAAAGAGAATGGATGAATTGCCATTCTGATCACCACTTTTTTCTGAGCCATTTCGGTCCTTAATTTGCTTCTCGAGGGGAAGGGGGAACTCTAAGTCCACGGGAGTCACTGTACCACCGGGACTTTTCATTGCACCCTTCTTTTTCTCTATCAGTGACGTACTAGCCTAAACATCAAATGCTCGCACTCCAAGTTAGAGTTCAGATTATCTGGTTTAGTTCGAGTACGCTAGCGAATCTTCTAACGAAACAGATTCGAAGGTCAGTGAGTCCTGAACTTCATTAGTTAATTAATAGGGATTAATTTATCCCTGATATCCACACAGCTGGCACGCGGTTGAAAGATGTTTTTGGGAGGTACACATCAATTAAGAGAGCGCATCGTTTTAGCGAACTTCTAGGATGCCTGTCTATGCTCCCGAGGCTTGACAGATGTTGAAGGGGGAGGGGGGTTGTACTTTGCGATTTGGGAAAGTAATTAGGGATGATGAGTCCTGTCTTGAAAGCGCTAGTTTGAAGAAATTGAAACGATGGGCCGCAGGAACAGTTTCTCAAGCTGTTTTTGGTCTCTATTTCTCTATGAAGGGGTTAGTCGCCAATGATGGAAAATCCCTAATTGTATCAGTACTACTTACATAAATTCG